CCTCCCATTCCCCTCCCACTCCCCCACTCCCCCTTCTCCCTACCACTCCCTTTTTAAGTTACATTGGTAATGGTGTCTTTTACAGAAAAAAAAGTAACTGTAATACAATTATAGTTGAAATACATAACTGATAACTGATTACAATTGTAAATGTAAGATAATCCTCCTCCAAATGTTACAAATGTCTGATATGGGATTCCCCTTTGTAAGCCATGAATATGTTTTATTACCATTGGTTAATAAAGAAGCTGCTTCAGCATATGGAAGGGAAGAATAAAGCCAGGTGGGAAATCCAAACAGAGATATAGAGAGAGAGTAGTTGGAGTCTAGGAGATGCCATGTAGCTGCTGAAGGAGAAAGACGCCCAGAACTTTACCTGGTAAGCCACAGCCTCGTGGTGATGTAGAGATTAATAGAAATAGGTTAATTAATATTTAAGAGCTAGCTAGAAATATGTCTGAGTCATCGGCCAAGCAGTATTGTAATTAATATAATATAATTTCTGTGTGATTATTCAGGTCTGGGTGGTTGGTAAACGAATGAGCAGCCTCCATTTGCAAATGTCTAAGTGGCTTCTTTCATCAAAAATACATAAATTAGGTATTATAATTACACAAAGTATTTTCTACATCAGAACATGATGTATGAGCATGTAAATTCGTGCTGGAATTTTCTGAATAAGAAATAATTAATTTCATCTTTACAAAATTTGTATTTTAAAAAATCCTAAGACCCTATCAGATCAACAAACATTTATTTTGGAATAATTACTTACAAAGCGGCTCTTAAATACAATAATAGCAAAGACAAGTGTAGGAGACATGAGTATGTCAATGAAAGACACTTATGACATCAAAGGGAGGTCAGGGGCATCAACTTTATCTTTGTTTTTCTAAATTAATTAGGGAGAGGATGCTATTATCTGAATGTAACATCATTACACTTGAAGGCGGTCCTCATGAATCCATCAAGCTCAAAATAAACTCTACTCATACTTCCAATCTCCTAGCCAACCAAGATGTCATTAAAATATTAAGAACTACTTAAGGTCTTCGGGGTTTCTTGGATTGAGCCAAGATGACAGAAAAAAAGAGATACTGAAAATGACACCATCCGCAGATTGAGCTCTAACACTGAGCCTTTCCTCTTCTGAGACACCAGGTTCATCCCCAGGATCTAGGAGCTCCACCACCATGGGATCTTAGATCTACAGTTTGAGGCACAAGTTGCCTTCTACAATGTGGACCTTAATTCCAACTAGAGTGGTTGGCTTTTTTATTCCTTTACTGTACCTATGGACATATCTTGCCATACTGATAATGACTGTATCTTGCATTGTTCACAGCTGGTTAAGACTATTCATTCATGACTTTCCCCATTCAGTCACATACACAGTACCTTTGGGTACAATAAAAACTAGCCAGAAGGCAGAAAGCTTAGAACTACTTAGAGATTTCATCTTACCCTGGTCAGGGTGGCTGGTTTGAAGAAGACAAAGGGTAACAAGTGCTGGAGAGGACATAGAGAATGGGAACCCTCATATACCATCTTTGGCCATACTTTTTCATTTTTGGTGATAAATACAAAACTTAAGATGTTCCTCAATGTATACATTCACCTACATTACGAAAAGCATGAGAGGTTTTCATATCTGTTTCCTCTGCTCGTACTATAAAGTCCATGATAAACTATTACAGTCAAGTTAAGACGACAAGGTAAGGGACTAGGGAGATAGTTCAGGAGTAGGCCCTTCCTCAGCAAGCATGAGGCTTTGGGTTTGATCCTCTGAATCAAGAGAAATAAAGAAAAAAGATCATGAGACAAAAGCAAAGTCTGTTGGTGTGGGAAGAGATCTGAATCCAAGCTTGGCCAGGAGAAGAAGGGGAGAAGTCTGAGGAGGAGGAGAAGGGATTTCTATAAGGAAGGATCTCTTGCACCTGCGCCATGAGGGTGGTGGCTGTCAACAGCTGTCACACAGCCTGTTGAAAGTCATCTCCAGTGTAAGCACCTCCACACTCACATTGCTAACCTCCTAAACTCCAGGGTTTACATCTGATACTATTAGGCTCACTTTATGAACAAGCATCAGACGCTGATATAAAACAATTTACCCACAACACCCATGTTTACAAACAGAAGACCCCACATATACTGTAAATTTAAGTTTTATTGGATGTATTAAATTGGGTAAGAAGAGATACAATTTAATAAGGATGATATCTGATACCAAGACCAAAAAACTTATCGAGAAGGTGGGTGGCTGCCAGATTCAGAATAAACCAGCAGAAGAACTCACAGGTATTCCCTGACATTCACACGATATCTCCTAGAGCTTAAGAAAATTGAAAATATGTTATAGAAGGTAGTTATACTCACGGTGGCCTCTTGCTACGATGTGGTTTCATAGTATGAATTGGCCTACAATTAGTAACTAGGAGAATGATTCTAGAAAAACATATGACATAACCTTTGGCGCTGACCTTGTAAATGCTTTCCCTGGAAACAAGCAGTAGTTGCCGGCAGTATACAATGACATATCTAAAACTGGAATCACAGTACCGCCCATGGTGGCCTGTCTTTTCATTCATGGATATCTGTCCCCACTTCTGGTCAGGAAAAGAGAGCAGTGTCCCTCTCCAGTGGCCTCTTTCACTTTGTGGTTATCTTGCTGATGTAAGTGAGCAGCTTCAACTCCTCCTCCTCGTTGCCATCAAGTTACTTCTAGCTTTCCTTCCGTGTCACATTTGGTACAGATCTAACAGGAAGTTGAATTTGGAAAATGAATTGGTATTTTTACTAGATTTTTAAAAACTTGGGTTTTTTGATTTTTTGTTTGTTTGTTTTTGTTAGACATCTGTTTGCAAGGCAGTATGAGTTTGTGTGCCCGAAGCCTATTTTCCCACATGAACCAATTATTTTTAATGTGTTATTTTCTAGATCTGGGGCATCTTCAAGACCACATGTAACATGTTACAGGGAAAAAACCTGTAACACATGTGATTTGTCTTAATATTCTTGGTCTTAATGACTTCAATTAACAAAATTTTTGTGACTATTGGTTATTGAGTTCTCTACATATTAATTAAACATTCCAAGTCAGATAGGAGACATCTTTTTAGATAGCATAAAGCAGAAACAGCCTGAACAAGGGCTGCTTCTCCCCTTTTTTTATCTCTTAAAAAAAACTTGTATTTGAGTCTAACCCTGAAGGGCTTTACCTTGACAAAAATTAGGAGAACAATATAAATATATGTGACTTAGAAAGAATGCTTTTGTATTTCTTATTGGGAATAGGAGAGTTTCACAGTGGGAATAGGGGCAAAAAATGGGATCACATTAATATAGCATCGTAAATACCTTTTTGAACTATATTTCCTTTTAGAAAACTAAGAATTTACAATCTTAACTTTTTATTTCTTCAAAAGAAGACAGTTAATATACTGCTTTGCAGTGTGTCTATCAAGAGACCAGAATCATCACTAATTAGAGATTCTCATGAACTCAGAGCGGTTGGAAGTAGAAACTTCGGGCAATATGAATTCAGGGGGTATGACCTGGCGTTTGCGTTTCTGGAACTTTTGATGAATCTTGTGGCAATTTTCATGCTTAATTGGGCTACAGGATCCTGTCTGTGACAGGGAAGAAAAGTGAACTCCTGTCTGCATGATTGGTCTTTAAAATAACTTCATTAATGATACCTGGAAGCATTAAAAGTCATTATAATATTGTCAATATTTTCTATGCTGTTTACTTTGCAAGAAACAAAACTGACCCGTCGACCTGCAAGAAAACTATGAAGACATATTTTTGCTGCTTGTTGACAAGATAAGAACGGCTTTAAAATAAACATTGGTGCTACGGAACTCTTGTTCCAGTTGACACAAGTTGACTGGGAAGGGGAACCTCCATGGAGAAAATGGTCTCAGCAGACTTTCTGCAGGCATTATTTTGGTCGCTCAGTGATTGAGAGGGCCTAGCTTACTGAGGGTAGTGCCACCCCTGGGCAGATTGTTCTTGGTTATATAAAGAAAGCAAGCTGAGCAAACCATAAGAAGCAACTCAATAAACAGCACTCCTCCAGGGACTCTGCATCAGTTCCTGCCTCCAGGTTCCTTCCTTGAGTTCCTGCCCTGGCTTCCCTTTAGGAAGTGTGAAGGACTGTGATCAGAACATGTATGCCAAGCAAATCCCCACGTGGCTTTTGGTCATGGTTTTGATTACAGTTACAGAAACCAAACTAAGACACCTAGTGTTAATAAATGCAGAGAGAAATAGGAAGAAATTACATACATAGGAAAATTATAATCTAAAACCCAACTCCGTTGATTCTTTTAATTTCAGTATTGGATTAAACTGGTTCAGTTTTATAAAACCGACTGTGTTGACAGAGATTTATGTCCTGCCCAATCCCGCAGCCGTTCAGCTCTAAAGAAACACACAGAGGCTTACATTAATTATAAACTGGTTGACCTATTAGCTCAGGCTTCTTATTAACTCTTATAACTTATATTAATCCATAATTCTTGCCTGTGTTAGCCACGTGGCTTGGCACCTCTTATCACTGAGGCCTTATCATCTTGCTTGCTCTGTGTCTGGCTTCCTCTGTGATGACTGCTGTCTGATCCTTTCCTCTTCCCAGAATTCTCCTGTTCTTGTTGCCCCATGTCTACTTCCTGCCTGGTTGCCCTGCCTATACTTCCTGCCTGTCTACCGGCCAATTGGTGTTTTATTAATACAATACAAGACTACAGTCCCACTGCACGACTGTGCATTTATCTGTCTATCCTAAGGTTTCGGTGCTATGACTCTTCTGGTCTCATTTTTCTCCACTCTCCCTACACTCGGTTTATCTGTTTGGACAAGGTCCTTTCCCATCCATCACAGAAGACTTGCCAATGTAGATCTCGCACATCCTTTCTCCAATGAGTTCTACAGGAAAAACAGCTGGGTATCATCTAATGCTCTTTCTCCATCAGTTAATCATCCACGTAGCCGAGTACCTTGTGCGCGCTCGCTCTCTCTGCCTCATTCGATTTCCAGCGCCACTCCCTCAGCTGTTCCCCTGGTTCAGCTTGGCATGTGGGCTGCGGGGAGAGCAGGACAACCTCAATTATCTTGTAGCTTCTTTGCTTCTGGAGCCAGTTTCATTCTGCAGCCAGGATAGCTTTTGAAAAGCACAGATTCCTGGAAATGACCGGACTGTAAAATCTACTGCTGTCAACAGGAGAAAGCTACCAGCACAGACTTGAAGTCATTTAATCAAATTAGCTTGTGCTTATTTTTCTATCAGTGCTTGAGGAAAACATAAATGATTACATATTATGTGTCAAACTTATTCCAGATGCTGAAACTGTGGCGGCGTACCAGGATGCTTTGTCCCGACCTATAATAGTCTACTGTTAGCAGAAGAAGGTTGGAAAGCAACACGTGAACCTGGGTTTGGTGGTGTAGGCCTTTTATCCCCAGCTACTCCGCAGGGATGCAGGAGGTGTCAAGCTCAAAACGTACCTGTGCAACTATGCAAAATCCTATTTTCAAATTAAAGAACAAAGTTGAAGGAAGGCTGGAGTATAGCCAATGGCAGAGAACATAAGTGAGGCCCCGAGTGCAATCCCCAGTACAGAGAAAAAATGGAAAGATGAACATGTATACTCAACCCAAATATGCATTTCTCGGTAGAAAACATAAAAAGGTCAATGGGTCTGTAAACTGTGCTTAACCTCAAAGCAAAGCCATAATGAGACCCCTTTACTCCCATAGGAGCAGCGGCTGGGAAGACAAAAGCTAACATATGTTGGTGAGGGCGTTGGGGATGGAAACCTTTGCAGGTTGTAGCGGGGAATGGAAATTGGTATAGCCATTATGCAAAAACAGGACTGAGGCGTCTCAAAATGCCCTAAAGAAAACATTTTTATGTCCAACAATAAATCCCATTCTTACATTCTTACACGGGGCATCCAGAAGCCCAGGATGGAGAGGGTAAGTGGAAGATTATATCAGTGGGTAGCTACTGTTTAACAGAAACAGAAGTTCGGGGCGCTACTGCAGTCAGGCGCTTGGAGGCAACAAACATGTACTACAGATAGCTACAAAGCCGAAGAAAACAAGTAAATCTTTCCACCGAAAAGAAATGATAAACACTGGAGGAAGAGGCAGGTTTTTCCTGATTTAAACATTCCAGACTGCGGACATGCACAGAGATATTACACGGGAGCTCCCAAATGTATACATTTTTGGTCTTTAGGTATTGGCTAAAATCAATTTATGTAAGAAAAAAAGAAGAAGAAAGAGGATTTCAGGATTATAGGGAGATATAAATAAACTAGAAGTTTATTCATAAATAGCCCCATAAAACTTGGAGATGACACTGAACAGTGCTTTCATGGGAGTGGCTGGAGAAGGCCTAGGAAGGGAGGGATGGAGTGCTGAATTATAATAGGTGCTGACACGTGTGAACTAGACGGCAAGCAAGTGCAAATAAAGATGTGCTTAATTTTTTTTAAAGAAAATAAATCCTGTGTGCTTCTGAAGTCCTTGTTTGTGATCCGTGTCTCTCTGACACCAGTGCACAAACACCTCCACCTTTCTACTCCCATCTTCTGAGTGTGTTATCCCATGGGTATGAGACTTCTAGAGTGTGGCTATTCTCTTACTCTTGTTCTTCCGTTTTCTAAATGATTTCTCCTCTTGATGGTAGGTGCCCTTTGCTTGATAGTTTTTTTTTTTTTTTTTTTTTTACCTGCCTGGGCCAGTATGTGCTTATTTCTGGATGCAGCTCCCATTCCAGGCCCTGTCCACTGTGACTCTCAACTGAACATTCATCTTTACACTCATTCATGTTTACCAAGCATAAAAAAGAATGACTTCTTGAAAAAGAAGGCACACGCTGCCCATCCCACCACCAAAGGGCATCTTCCTTTTTAAATGAATGGACATCCAACTGATAGGTTACTGCCGTCTCCGCCTTCATTTTCCTACTGTCTATTTTTGGCCATGTTGCCTACCCACTCAGAGTTTACTGAATAATATACAAAAAGAAAGAGAGGAAAGGAAATGCAAATTAATCAGATTTGATCACAGTGAACATCTGTCATAAAAATATTTGATGGAAGGCTTGGTTAAAATTATTGGCTCAAATGAGAATGAAAAATTGTCCATGGGGGTTATTTATCTATGCTATGCCTAGTCAAAATTTAGCTTAGATTAACTGAAGAGAAACTGGGTAAAAAGATGAAAAACTAAAAGGTAGTCATAAATAGAAAAAAGATAGAGCAGAAAACACAACAAGAACAGACAGTGCAGAAGAACCAGTGGGGAAGTCAGGTCTGCTTTTGACTCTGAGCGGTTTCTACTGACACTCTATTGATAGGAAAACAGATCTAGGACAAAGAAACTCCCCTCTTCCCAACTAGTTATCTAGTATGCTGTGGACAAAGAACACAACAGACAGATCAGCTGAGCTGCTTGGTTCTGTGATTGTCTTCTTGTTCAAATAGCTGGAAATCTCTGAAGAATATCCAGTCTCTGTACACTCTTTCAAAGACTCACTTACACACACACACACACACAAACACACACACGGGGGGGGGGTATGGCATACAGTTATGCCCCCATAGGGACATGGAGAGCAGAATTGTTTCTTAAGGAAATCTACAGATAGACCTAATGGTGCTATAAACTCCCAGGCACTTAAGTAAAGCAATAGCTAACTATTTCCTGTGAAGCACTCAGGGTGGGCAGTGAATCTCATCCTTAAGTCCCTTGTAGCTAATATGAAGCAATCTGCATTTATGCAGGGTCATATTCCTGCATAGACATAATCCTTCATGTGCAATGTGCCCCTCAATACAATAGCACTCATTAGCAAATGTACAAACACTTCTGTGAATACATTAAAAGGTTCAAGAGAAATTAGCCTTTGTTTATAATTAGAAGATGTTATTGAAAATGTATTTTATTTCATTTGCTTTTCTGAATACATGAAAATTAAAAACAAAGTGCCTCCCCCACTCTTAGTCAAACTGCCTCATAAAAGTTCAAAATTCTTATATTTCATGCACTGTCTTGTCCTTGTCAAAATCTGTTTGATGTGTTTTGTGGCAGTGTTTTTCTAGAGTTATTTTTATACATACAATATGGCAAATGCTCCCTTTGAGCAGCTCTGCATCACAGGGTGGCATGGAAGGCTGTATTAGTATTTTAATGGGTGATCATTAGACCAGGGGCATAGAGACACACAAAAGTAAGTGGCCCATGAAAGGGGTCTTCCTGAATGCACCAGGTTCTTGGGTGGATAACAGCATTTCTGGAATAACTGAGCCTTAGAAAGAAATTCTAAGAGAGCTCTGGGTCTCTGTGAAGCACATGCCACTTTATGGCGGAAAGAACGACCCTCTGGCAAAAATCATGGCATAGTTAACATTTCTACAGTTTGCAAAGGGCCTCTTAGACTTCAGAGGGCACGTACTCCACATGGTCTTTTGCACCAAGGGTCTATCAGCACGCTCGGACTTTACCTACTTCTCGCTCCCAGGCAGAAGACTGAAGACACCGAGATGGGAAAGAAAACTGCAGCAATAAGATGCGGCAGGGAATCTTTCAGAGATGCTGAAGGTGATTCTTGTAGAATGCTCAAGAGACAAGGGTAGGGTTATGTTAAAAAAGATTAGTGTCAGTCAGAAGCTGCCTCTCCTAGAGCTCAGCAGACTTAGGCCTGGTCCATCGGAAGAAGGGTGAGAGACGGATCCAGCCTCTCCTTGCTTCCTGCCAAGAAGGTCAGGCCTTTGAGTGGATGATAGAACATGAAGATTTAGCCTAACAGGACAAAGCAGGGCTGATGGATAAGTGAGAAGTATTTAGAAATGGATAAACGAACACAGTAGTTTGGCTCGGCACAGGTCTACACGCCTGAGGGACACCCAGCCTGCTGCTCTCAGTTGTGTGATGTTGGGAAAGTTACTTAGCTCAGTAGTGGGGTTCTACTTGTTAGTTTACTTCATTAGAAAACATGAATAATAAAAGCACCTCTCAGCTTTATCATGAACTTTAAATGTTTCCTCACTTCAGGAAGTATTTGGTATTTATTCAAGACTATAAAAACGTGAGACTTGTTAAAAACTACAAAAACAAAGGACTTATTAAAAATGAGAAGAAGGCTAGGTGGTGGTGGTGCATGCCTTTGATCCCAGCACTGGGATCAAAGCATTAAAACAAAACCCCAACAAGATTCCTGGGGCAGGTACACTAGCCAGCAGTTACCTATGGGATATTCACATATTCCACCAAATGCGATCTTAATACCCTGTGAGGCAGGTGCTAATGTTGTCATCATTTTACGCAGCAAGCATTTGAGACACAGCCATCTTAACAACCAGGATGTGGACTCGGCTCTTGCTTGCAAAGTCTCTACTCTTAACAACTAGCCCAGGCTTGATCTCTTGAATGCAAAAGTGCTGGAACACACTCGAAGAATGGAGTCGTGCAATGGGAATTCTGAGTGCCTGTGAAAAAACTCCAAGGAAACAAGACAGGAGTCTGGTGACTTCAGTTTCTTCAAAACACAGAGTTTCTCTTGGAGTGTGTTTTCACGCTCCTCCCAGGTGTATGGAGTGGAGTGAGTTGGTTTACTTCAGATGTTGGTATTCGTATGCCTCTGTGAGGACATGCCAGCCAGCCCTAACCTGGTGGCACTGTGCTATTGCCTGCCCAGAAATGAACTGCTCTCTGCCAGTCATTAGGGTGCTCAGACCTGAGCTATAATTTACACAGATCTCCTGTGATGAGCAAAGAAACTTAGTGGAGCCGGGCATCCCTTAAGGGCCACTGACCTTTCACTCTGGCATGCCGGGGGATCCTGGTAGCCTGCGCGTGAGATAACAGGTTGTGACGGCTTCCTTTGCATCTGTAAATCTCACTACTGCCATGGGTAAAAGACAAAATGGTCTTTTCCCCCCCTATATATTGGGAAAGTAAGAAACATTGAGGGATATAAGACTATTTTTCCCGCCAGGATGTGGATTCCATGGATAGTTGTAATACATACCTTTCTGATGTCTGCCTTACAAAACCCTCACCTTAATTCTCC